TGGATTTCGAGAACCCAACAAGGGGGAAGAAAAAGGCAGGATTCTTGGATGTAGCATTTAAGGGAAGCGCGAGCAAAGAGATTGAGTGCAGATTGAAGAACCGCAACGTGGGTGAAGCTGCCCGATTGAGTTTTACCCCCTCGGTGAGCTTGTTAGGATTTGCCCAAATTTCCCATGTTCCCAACATTATCACGTTCCCATTTTGTTTCTGGCATCATTTAGGGCATGAGTCAATTAAAGAATCAAGAAAACAGCAAACAGGCTTCAAAATGGCACCCTCAAAAAAGGCCCACCATTCTGCCAGGATTCAGAACACCATCAACTTGGGAGAATCTAGTTGTTTGGCCTAAATTCGAGTCCCCTCCAAAACTGTGGGTTTGCAAAAAAGGGGAAAACCGACAACAAGGGTCCCCAAATTTGGACTGAGCATCTCAAGACTGCACAGGTGGCACAAAATTGCCTCAGCCCACCCTAACCACCCCAACGACCTCCGCCCTCTTGTTGGAGAAAATCTCCAATGCAGCTTTCTGGCTCTTGCCCGGAATGATGCAAGTCAAGTCCAAATCAGAGTCCTCATGGGGGTGGCTGCAATGGGCAAAAGACTTGCAATGGGCGAAAGGCTGCACCGTTTGTGGTTGGGGCTGTTCCCTACTCTCTCTAAAAAAAAACGGGTTGTGATTGTGGCTCAGAGCAAACTGGCGGCGGTCGCATCATGGGCTGACCAAACTATCCTCCATCCACGTGGGATGGCCAAACAATACGCCAATGAGGGATCCTGCAGAGAAGCGCTCAGTGAAGCGACCCTCGGAACCCTGTTCAATATTTCCCCCGAAAACCCTAAACTTCCTAAAGCGTAAAACCTCAAAACCCAAATTTGTAATTAATTGGATGATCGTCTTCGCTGGCATTTTCGTACTTGCAAAATTGTGCAACCTTGAATACTCTTGTGCTGGCAGTCCCAAATACTGTTCACAGGCACGGCTGCAATCAAAAATTGACACCCATGCTAACAGAAGTTTCCTAGTATCACATTCTTTGTTCTGCCCATGAAAGCCGCCAAAACCGCGAGACCTCCATGAACCTCAAACCCAAACAAAGCTTCCAAATTTAGCCATGAATCTTCAATGGGAATCTGAGCCACGGCCATTGGGGTTCTGTATTGATGGCATATGACTTTCTAGTGGTAGTGGATGAGATGGCACAGCCAGGCGGTGTTTGAGGATCTTGGGTGTGAAAACTACAGTAGTATTCGAGAGGAATAGAAAACCTTAAACAGACCCCCTGGCGTGGTATATATATATATACGCACCACTGAGCCAGAAACAAGGTGAGCAGGGGAAGGGGGGTGAACCAACAGGAGGCAACCAGAAACAGGAAAGCAGGAATTCGAATTTGCTCGCACATTTACTGAAGGGCGCCCACAAGGACAGAACAACATTTGCTGCGTGCCCCGGTTTTTGCGGGAAACCGAGTGGGTCCCCCGTCATGTCCGACCTCGACCCCTGAGCTCGCGGTCCTTGGTGGTGAAGCCATTGGCGCTGCTCCCGAACGGCTTCACCAGCCAGCTGGCATCCAGCCGTTGCAGCGAGGCGCTCAGGAGCTTGAGGCAGGACTTCGGGACCGTGGTCTCCCCACAACCGTCAGCAAGTTGCAAGACACCTCTAGCTCCAAAATACACAAAAAAGAGACAGCCTGGACGAAAGCCCCGAAGAAGAGAAAAAGAGACCCCTGGACCAAAAACGAAACTGGAAAACCAAAGCAAGGACTTTAAGGGAGGGAGGCCCTGACTCAAGACGAAAACTTGTCTTGAATGGCTGGCGAATTCATTCGATCCCTTTCGAGCGCGAAGCGCTTTGTGGCCCATGCAAATGGCACAGCCGAAAGCCCCAAGGACGGGTAAATTCCTGCCATCTCCATCCAGGTCGCAATTGTGCAGGGTTAATGCCTCAGCTCAGAACGGTCCAAGTCATCGGTCCAAACCTGCTGCTTTGGTCCCCAGCAACAAACAGATGTTTGCCGATCGTGGGGCCGAAAAGCCGTACTCTCTCACTGGCCACATGCGCACTCTGCCAAGGCGCGTTTAAGTCCAACACCATGTCAGTTGTGAAGTTTGCCGCATAGGCAGTGTATTCGGCTAGGTGTGCATGCTATGCGACGGCTTCCATGCACCCGTTACTCTTGAGCCAAATGTCCAAAGCAGTGCCTAGAATTGGGCAGACAGAAAGACAAACAGACAAATTGACAGACACACAAACAGAGAGGCAAGCAGGCAAGCAAGCAAGTCCCGGAACCTTCAAAGAATTTGGAAACCTCCCTGGCAGCTGACCATTGACTGGCACTCCCAGCAAGAAATAGTGCAATATCTCTAAACCGCATCCCATCGCAAGTCTTCTGTTACAACAGTGGCTACAATACGTCGAACAACACTGGTGACACTGCCTCCAGGCACTCCACATTTTGCACGACTCAGTCTAACGGGACGTTGCAATTCACTTTGATGCCCCGTGGTGGTCGGGGTGTCTTCAGAATTCCGAATGTTTAGGTGATTTTCGAGGAGCTCCTCACAGTATCAGCGGGGCATCTGCGAAAGTGAGGCAAACGAGCATTGGCTTGTGGGCAAACATGGGTGCGTCCTTTTGTCAGGGTACCCCTTTGTGGTGGGTTTTGACGGGAAGCCATAAGGCAAACCGAAATCAATGTTGGGGGTTGAAATCAAAAAAGACAAGCCACCCACATGGGATCCACCGGTTACGATCGGCTGTCAGCCCACGGAATCCATACCTCAACCAACCAGGAGGAGGGACCACTCATGGTTCTTGGTGAGAAGAAGTCTGTGCAAAACGCTCTTGAGTCTGAGATACATGCGAGTGTACACCACACGTGTAAACACCTGGCAACCATGGCCGCAAAAAGACACACACACACAAACAAACACACACACACACACACACACACACACACACACACACACACGCACGCACGCACGCACGCACGCACGCACGCACGCACGCACGCACGCACGCACGCACGCACGCACGCACGCACGCACCCACACAAACAACAAACAACACGCCAAACACACACACACACACACACACACACACACACATATACCATACACATACACATACACGACACAGCGCAGACACGACACAGACACAGACACAGACACAGACACAGCACAGACCAGACACACACACACACTTATCTCGAGAGGCTTCACTAGCCGAGATGAAAAGGTTGGAAAAACCTGCAACTGCTGAAATTGCTTGACAGGTCAAAATGCAGAACAGAAACCGGGAAGCAACAGCGAACAGGACGGAAAAACAGTCAGGAAAAAGAAGGAAAGGCAGGTACACAAGGCTGATCAGGCCTTGCTTCCCACTCTCACCCACAGGATGAGAGTGCCACACGCCCCTGCTGCTTAAAGTTTTGCGTCCGTGCTCCAGGACGGTTCACACACACAAAGCCCCGGTGGGGTGGACACGAACCACACAGAGGGAATTCCACCAGGGGACCGCCAAAAACCCCGCGGCAACAGCAAACGATTTTCAAGGACGAAAAACCGGGCGCACAAAACCAAGCAGAGGGAATTCCACCAGGGGACCTCCAAAAACCCCCGGCAACAGCAAAAAAAATCAAGGACGAAAAACCCGAGCACACAAAAACCACACAGAGGGAATTCCACCAGGGGACCGCCAAAAACCCCGCGGCAACAGCAAAAGATTTTCAAAGACGAAAAACGAAAAAAAACCCAAGCACACAAAACCAAACCGAGGGAATTCCAGCAGGGGACCGACAAAAAACCCCGCGGCAACGGAAAAAGGTTTCGAAAATGGCAGTCAAGGCGTGAACATGAATTGAACTGATCTGAGTCGGCGCAGAGCGTGAACCAATGAACGGCAAAGTCGGTGTCTGACCGGCTTGTCACTCGCGCATGAAGCTGCCGAATCCTGATACCTCATGAGAGCTGCCTTGTTCAAAACGCAGGCAGTGCAATGCGAATGAAGCTGCCGGAGCCTGATACCTCGTGAGAGCTGCCTTGTTCAAAAGGCAGGCAGTGCAATGCGAAGGTGAACTGAACGTGAACTTTTGAACGTCATCCCCTTGCAGAGGGCTCCCGCATATGGCGAGTCCAGCCCACAGCGCCATGTCGGACAGGCCGTGGGTAAACACACTTATCTCGAGAGGCTTCACTAGCCGAGATGAAAAGGTTGGAAAAACCTGCAACTGCTGAAATTGCTTGACAGGTCAAAATGCAGAACAGAAACCGGGAAGCAACAGCGAACAGGACGGAAAAACAGTCAGGAAAAAGAAGGAAAGGCAGGTACACAAGGCTGATCAGGCCTTGCTTCCCACTCTCACCCACAGCTTCATTGCGTGTGGTAGGATGAGAGTGCCACACGCCCCTGCTGCTTAAAGTTTTGCGTCCGTGCTCCAGGACGGTTCGCACACACACACATGATTGCACACGCACGAGGGGGAAGGAAAAAAAACGCTTACTCGGAAACTGCCTGTGTATACGCTGGGACTGACAAGGGCATATTTGCAAAGCACACGAGCAGCGCACAATGTGCGCATGTGCACAAACATTAGTGGTGGACACATGCGCATTCACTTGGGACATCTTGGCTTTGGGGAAGCATGAGCGCGCACGTGGATGCACACGAGGGAAACACGTATCTCCGCTCTGAACACACACACACACACATGCCTGCACACGCTTAACAGAGACGTGGGTATTCGTACACTCGGCAAACAGGACCACACGCCTGCACACGCGCGAAAGCCGCATGTAGCTCCTGAGAGCCACCTTGCTATCGGTACCCTGCCGCAGTATCCCTCAAGTCCCTACGTCCTGCGTCACGCGACCTGCACCCGAATGTTCATGGCACAACCCTTTTCTTTGAGGTTTGAGCCCCGAAAGCTTTCAGCTACGAAGAACGTCTGGCCCGGATCTCGCCAAAGGTCGACACCTCTCTGGGCACTTGGTCCAGGGCCAGCTGCTGCGGCGAGCACTCGGCGGCGCAGTCGAGCACCTAACAGGGTGGGTTCCCCTTTTTGCAAGCGCGGAAAGGGCCCTCAACGCCCTGAGGAGTCATGTTAACTGAAAGATCAAACAGGTTGAACGACTAGAGAGCCCACTTGATCGGGCCTGGCTAGAAATGTACCTGATGAGGAGCGGGTGTTTCATCAGCATCTTTGCCTGGCCATACAAGGGCCGCGTTTGCATCTGAGCAGCCTGTTCTCTCCTATCGCCTCAGAAGCAAATGCACCAAAACCGGTGCAGCCTGAACTGCGCCCGGCGTCGCTGTTTTGTTTGACGGCATCAGTGGTAATGTTCAGCCAATATCGACCACCACAAATGGGCGCCCAAATGTAATCGTCCACATTGCAGGGAACACTCCCAAGCTTCACGGGCACTGGTGGAAATTGGTCTTCGCACCCAGGACATGTATTCCAGACCAACTTTCCAATTTGGAGTGTTTCTCTAAAATCAAGCTTGACGCGTCACTCCATATGGGTATGTCTTTTTTGAGAGTACCCCTTTTGTGGTGGTTTTAAACGGGAAACCAAGAGGGTCCCCAAAAAGACATACCCATATAATCATATAGACCCAAAGCTGTCAATATCAATACACCCTCCCTTGGTTCAGTTGGATCGTGTTGCGCTTTGCCGGAAAAGGTAGCGGCACCTGTAAGTCACCCTGCAGTTTCACTACACGCTGTCAAAAAAATAATGACTGTGCCTTCACATGATTCACTTGCAAGCCTTGCAAACCGCTTCGCCATCTTGTTTTATGTCAGCATTGCGAAAGTAGACCATGTTCTTGGCGACGGATCAAGGCACATCCTCTGCCACTCAGCAGCCTCTGCTTTCCGTGTTCTTTTTCATACGGAACCACAGACACCCACCTGCCTGCGACCAGGCAACATTGGTCAGCGCCCGCGTATCCACGTGAAACTTCCACCTGAGACGATGAAAGCACCAGGCCATTGCCGGTGATGGCTCACATGCCTGTCGCCTGTTTGTCCGATCGCTCCCAGGCAATGGCCCAAAACCGAGGGAAGCCCATTTGCGGAGTGATTCTGGGGCGAGATTCCGGATGTACGTCGGTAATGTAAATGGGTGTCTTTTTTGGGAATCCAAAACATTGTGGTGTTCCTTTTGGTTTCCCTTTAGAACTAATCAACAGGTGGTACCCTCAAACAAAGACACACCCAAATAATACACAGTGTCAATGTGCGCTCCACTAGACACTTTTTGCTATTGATTTCAGGGTCAATTGGAGCCTGGGCAACCCCACTGGCTTTTCAGCTGTGCGTCTCCTCCAGACAACCTGCAGACATCTTAAGCACCAGGTCACTGGAACTTCTGTAACGGCTTCCGATCGTAAATTTGACGCCCAAAGCACGTGCCAAGCTGCGCTTGAAGGAAGAAATGCCTTGACAAGTTCAGCTTAACTGAAGAGTTTCATCGGCAAGAAGCACTGCAAGAATTTCGCGGGCCCGCGCGACAATGCCCCTTCGCCGTAGGAATGCGAAAGGCATACGCAAATCAGGTCGGCGCATGGCGTCTGTTGCATCGCTCAGGTTCCGAAAGCCAGAAAATCAACGTGCAATTGGACCAAAAGCGTTGGCGGGGGGTCGATACCAGCGAAGCAAGTGGTTCGGGGTCGATAGCGAAGCAAGTGGAGGTTCGCCCGTTCGATCCGAACGTGCCCTCCCTTGGATCAGATGGATTCCATTTCAGCCCAGTCTCGAGTCAGGCGCCGAAATCAAACCCCAAAACCTGAAAGCTCAAAGGGACGCACCTGAAAATATCCAGGATCCGGTCCTCAGTGAATAGGAAGACCGGCCGCTCCAGAGTTGCTGCCAAGAGGTCTGTTGCAAAAATATGTCTTTGCAAGGGAATCCAAAGGGCAACCTGGTGATTTCCCCAACAAACAATATCATGATACGATTCTGCACGCAGTACAACCCGGTTTTGAGGTGCGTTGCGCTCACAAAAGACAAACCACCCAACCCGTCGAAGTCAGAGTCAGGAGGCAGCTGGGCTGCTTGTGTGTGGCGCCGCAACGCCAAGCTGTGTCAATGTTTGAAAGGCAAGGACATGATCACAAGCGGCAAAATCAACGGACATGAAGCATGCTTGCAAAGCCATGTTCCACCGTTCCTGTGTGGAGCTATCTCGCGCAGGCCACCCAAGCTTTACCTGCATGCAAGGCTCGAAAAGCGCAGTCAGTCGGTCGTCTCGGCCAATCCGGTGTGAGTCCTGACCTTGCTGAACAGAACTTGGTGCGCGTGGCAGTCCCGAAGAGGACATCAGGCAAAAAATGGTCTTGAGTTTCGCGAGCCTTTGACTCTCGGTCACTTTCCCATGTTTCAACATCCAACTTGAGGAGCGGGTGAACGAAAGCTAGCAGTTGTTGCATGAGATGGGTCGGTGACAGAGTGGATTCATAGGTAGCTTGTGTACAACGAGAGGCCCGGCAAGATTCGTAGGATGCGACACGCAAACGCACATGGTGGCGTGGCAATCCTTGAAAAATGAAAACAACGAGAGGCGTCAGAAGCTGTCTTAAAGCACCTCTGGGTTCTGCATGCAGCGTGTGCAAAGATTCTTGCGAGGTGGTTTACCGAGAAGACTGAGGTCTCAAATGAACAAGCTGAATCGGTGGAACATGTAAAAGTTCGTAGCACCAAGTCCAAAACGGGCAAACCGAGACTGCTGAACACTGAGCCACTTGCCCGGGGGGGGGGGGGGGGGGGGGGGGGGGGGGTGGGGGGGGGGGGGGGGGGGGGTGGGGGGGGGAGGGGGGGTGGTGGGGTTTGGGTGGGGGTGGGGGGGGGGGGGGGGGGGGGGGGGGGGGGCGGGGGGGGGGGGGGGGGGGGGGGGGGGGGGGGGGGGGGGGGGGGGGGGGGGGGGGGGATGGACCAGGGAGGAATCGAGCCTGAGACCGGGGGGGGGGGGGAGGGGGGGGGGTCTAAATAATTGATGTTTTTCAATCTTTTCGGCTCAAATAATTGAAAAAATCAATCTTTCGGCATTTGAGCCCCTTACCTTGCTTACGCAAGGAGAAACTTCAGCTAGCTAAAGCTAGCTTTCGTGAAAAAGAAACAAATGCTTGTCGAAACTGAAGCAATTCGAATCACGAGTGGTGCCCCCGAAGCTTGCTGGCTGGTAGAGGTTGAGGCAAGAGGAAACTGTTAGCCCTATCAGCGCCTGTGCGGCCATACAGTCGCTGCGCGCATGGATGTATCTGTCCATAGCTGACTCTGCCAACCCTCGGCCCAAGAAACGCCCAGATCTCAGAGTCTTGACTATGCGCAAAAACACATCAGCTGGTGCCCAGGGCCCCTTGTTTGAAGCTTCTGGAAGCTCATAGTTGCTTGCCTGCAAGCACAGATCCTATTCAGCAAGACCTGGTCGGTCTGGGCAGAGCCAATGCAGCTACACGGAATACCAACGATTTCCAAGAGTTTTCATAGCTCGCACGTGTCATAGACTTGCTCAAACTGCTCTCGTTATGCCAAGGCCGAATTTCATTCACAAGTTTGAACGTGCCTCTGTTTTTTTGGGGGGGGACCCCTGATTTTCCTTTCAAAGGTAAACCATACACCCTCCAAAAAGGACAAGCCACCCATGAAAACACCATCCTCCATCAGCCATGCTTGGCTTCCCAATGCGTCTTGGGCCGCTGGCACTTGGCCAGGCGGTGGACCGCGGTGGCCGCGTTCACCACGCTGAGCTCAGGCAGGCGCCGGCTCGCAAAGCCGAGGATGGCCTGGATGGATCCCAAGCCACAAAGCTACGAGGGTCCCATAGTCCTAGGGGAGAATGGAACCATGATGAACCATGGCTTGTCCTTTCTTGAGGGATGGTTTTTTCCTTTGGTGTCGGAGAACCGAGGCCGTTCTTTTCAGGGGTTGCGCCGATCTGCCAGGCCCGCGGGCTCGAAAACAAATCGCGGAATAGGATTTGTACTTTGGCAGAATCGCAACTCAGACCTCAGCTGGAAAATGTCAGTCCAAATATTGAGAATGGGGTGTGTTCTTGCATGAGAAGCGGGATCAAAAACGCCGGAAGCGTGTCTGATATCTTTGTTTCGGCTGCGATTCAAAAACTACAAAGACCACAATGTGGGAACCAAGTGCCGAACAGTCTAAGCAAAAGGCTGGAAGTATTTCTGTGGCATATTTACACATCCGGTGCGCAGGGCTGGGCACCTTCCTCGGGACCCTTACATAACAACGCTTTGCAAACAAATGTCTTGCGGCCTCCATCAAAGGGCTGATATATGCACATCCGACCTGTAGAACAGCATGCGGAATGAGAATGGAAGCAGCGCTGATACCAGGTGCGGGTCAATGCACGCCTCGCCATCGTCCCCGGCAGCAAGGATGACGTCGTTGAACCTTGACCGAGGCAATACCAAGATGTGCACGAAATGCGCAAATCATAGCTGTCCTGAAACGCGTCCGAAAATCTGCTGCAACGGCAATCCGGCATGCCGCTGCACAGCAACCATCCCACACATTCAATTAGTAAGCACGGAAACAGGAACACAAATGGCTGTGGGTCAAAACCAATGGTACCATTTTTGGGGTAGGTGCACCACCCATTTTAGTCTATTTTAGTGGGGATTGGGATGTTCACTGGGGGTACGGGCTTTTGACCCATGACCAAATCTTGTCCCAAACGCGTCTGCGACTAAGAGCCACGCTCCTTGCCCTTCGACTTCTCCCTGGGACAGGCACCGGCCTGTGCAGCAGCGTCAACATGCGCCCGCAAGCACGGACTCAAACGACGACGCTCAAGAAAACCCGCAGGACGCAAGGGAAGTCAAGGGAAAAGAATGACCTTCAGATCATGAAAAAACGAAAACGACAACAAACATCTTTCCCCACCTCCCCTGACCCCCCCAAAAGACTTCCAGAGTTTCCATGTGAAGCGCGTGAGCAAACACAAAACGGCCCAAGTTTCCCCACCTCGCGGGGGCCGGGCGCATAGCCAAACCTGCAGACCCAGGTTTGAAAAGTTGCCAACTGGCAAAGGGCTACGTCTTGAAATCAAAACCTGTACAAACAGGACTCCCTATTCC